CAGTGTCCAGTTGACTTTCAAATGTTAATTATGTTGTTTATTTTAAAAATCAGCAAGAAAACCGTCGGTATAGTGGAAAAATTATCAGGGCAAGTGACTTTACATGTGCCACTGTACCGGAGTACACTAGCAATTTTAAAGGTATTTCCATCCCTGGATCCTAATTTTTGTCAAATCTTACACCTGAAGGGTACAGATGACCCGGAGCCACTTCAGTGTATGGTTTTACACCACTTTTAGCAACATTCCAGCAATAACAAGGACATGAGAAATGGGTTTCATACATTGTATACCTTGTATTGATACCCTATAAGACAGTAAAGAGTGAGACAGCTTTCAAGCAGCATGTAGCAATGTCCCAGCTATATCAAGGCAGGAGAATCCGATTAGGGCTTCAAACATTGTACCTTTGGAGGGAATGGATTCGTGAGACTCATTTTACAAATGAAGGAAGAAAACGCCTTTAGAAGTTTATCATATTGTTCTGAAATACCCAGGGCCCAATTTTTCATCAGCAACAACACGAAATAAGAGCTGATATTTGGACTATGTGTTTCAGTATGTAAGTAAAGCTACAATTGACTAATGACTTAAAGTAATGACTTTTCTTCAAAATTCAAGCTGCTAAAACAACTTAACGAGTCAAAAGAAGATTTCTTCTTACTTTCAGCACAGGGTAACCTCAGCTGTTTTGGACAGATCACAACCAGATCGAAGACTTCTTCCACATATGTTCACACCAAGAATGCCTGATATGAAACTGTTATCTTTACGTGGAGTTATACCAAGACAATGTGCAGTGCCCAATTGAGACACTTCACTACCAAATGTTCAGTTTATGTTCACGATCATTGTGCCTCTATATTATCAACATGGCCGCTTGATTTCTTATGGCGATCCAATCCTGTCTTATAAGCATATGTCAACCCACAAGAACAGGCATATGTGATCCCTCTGTGTTGTGAATTTAAGTGCTCTTCTTTTTTCTGTTTGGTTGCAAAGTACTTTCCACATTCTTCACATTGGGCGTTCTTTTTCCTTTCTACAAACTGCCCGAACATCTTTTGACAGGATCTGGACTCGACATGCGTCACTAAGTTTTCTTTCAGCATATACTGCAGGTAACATGTGGGGCAGATGTGAGATTCATCACTCCTGTGGAAAATCAAATGGGATCTCAAATCCTCTTCCACTTCAAACAGTTCTGCACAGTCAGCAAAAATACATGCCAATTTATTTCCCTGACCAGCAGAAAGAGCAATGCTTGGATTGATGGGTGTTCCAAGGGCCTGAGAAACATTACGGACATTTGAGTAAGAGTTATGTCCCCTGGTCCAACTTCCATCTTGGGATGCCCATGCTTGGAAGATTTCTGTGCAGAGGAAAATTGTAATCAGTCATCTTCTGGTTACAAGATGCTTCTTCAATCATGTCTTTGGATTAGAAATCTAATAACCACTTCCAAACTGCTCAAATGCTTCCCATGCAAGTGTAGATAGGTCAAAGTCAAGGTGATACCCAACAAGCCATGTTGACATCAAGCATCTTTTGTCATCATTGAACTCTTGAAATATATGTCAACCAACGCATACAGGCTTTAGTCGGTTGTGTAACGACAGTGGAACAGTAGTCGTGATAAATCCACAGAAATCCCAAACGCAGAAACAAAAGGCAACCTGAAGTACCTAGTTCTGACTGACTGTCTACCTATTCCACAAACAGTAATCAATTCACTTGTTAAACATCCTTTTAAATCGGTTTTACATCACGCAAGACTTTCAAACGTCATGAGACTACTAACCCCACAAGGTGGGACATTTTCAAACTATCATTTGTCGTGTATTTCATAAAGTGAGCCTGTCACAGAAGCACAGAAACATTGCAATCAGTGTTTCTGCAAGTCAACACAGTACAAGGCATTGCCAGGTGCTAATTCATTACTGGAATATGTGCATACATTATAGAATATAAATCAACAAAACAGAAAAATAATCACTACATGTGTAGCAGGTCATAGAAAAATATGCAAAACAAGCTGGCCTATCAAAGAATGTCAAGCTAACTTTCACAAGTAAAGGTCGATTTAATTTCCTCAAAGTCGATTTAATTTCCTCAAAGTCTAGAATTACTTCTTCATAATGAGTAAGCAGAAAAATGTTTTTCAATAGTTGTGAATTACTCAGATATAAATAGAGGCTGGAACATATCAAGAATTATTAATGTAACATGTTCAAATCTCTGGACATATAACCATATCTTAAGGTCTTGTATCAAAAGATAAATGGATATTGTAACTATGTCCTATCAGATTTGACAATTGTTTCCAGAATGATATTGAACATAAGAAAATCCGACTGAAATCAATAAAATCAACTTATGAAATTTTGAAAACCACTTAATAAGTTCAGTGCAATAACGCTATCAGAATATGAAACATTCATTCAGGGAATAGTTCCAGTCTCGCTGGTTATATGAAACCACATAACTTGTAACTACTAGCTAGGGATGTACCATAGTCAAACAAATAAAACCCAAATACAATGTACATCAGCTAAATATTTTTGTTGCTATGTGTACTGGGTGATAAATTGTGTTCGTTCATTGTCAATGTGTTTATTTTGTTATAGTATTTTCCTGTCAACTCTCTATCTATCCTCACAGTACTTCCCCAACAACTTTCAATCGGACACTGTTATCCTATCTACAAACAAACAATATAATTGGTTCTGGCAAAAATATGGCGAGGAAGGTGCAAGGGTGTCTTTATCTTTGGGATTTATTTGTGTTGAATGTGGTACAGAGCTTATTTTGCAGTATTTTGCTATTGGTATTGACCTGATCTATCATTTCTTGAGGACGTCCTAGCCCAGGCCACAGTTGAGTCAGGAAGCCAGTGTGTGGACTTACCTTGTGATGCCAGGAACCACGCCCCCATCATCGCTGTACTGTGGCACTGGGTGTGTCAACATGGCAAGTGACAAGATGGATCAAGAAATTTCAAACAGTTTGACAAGTAATTTTTTTAGATGATTTTTTCTGATCTGGATCAATCTTGTCACTTGTAAAACTACATGTTAAATAATACTTTGAGCAATGTTGCAAAACATATTCTTTAAATAATACTTGGCATAACAATTAACACTGCTCAATTGTCCAATCCAGGACAATGGCTTAATTACTCTAGTATTTTTTCAAGAAACATTGGCTAAATCCCATAGCCATACTAAACTGGCAGAAGTTACAATATCTGAATATTTAACAATGTCCTAGATTGGACAGAGTACATCAACAAAACTCACAGATCACAGTTTACTCTTTTACTTTATCATTTTCGTAAATATGACATTTATCTTTCGAATAAATCTTTTTAAACCTTTGGACACAATACTTGGAGTAAATAGTGATCCTGGTTAAAATAGACAAACATTTGAGCCAGTGCTAAATCATTCCTCATTATGCATTGAGATCAACATCAGAGTTTTTGTAAGCATTCATTTCGCTTTTTCAGCGTCTCTGATAATATATTCCTGTCATGGTTGGCATGTCTTATTCTTGAGCATAAAATTAACAATCCAATTACTAATCTTATAATGGTGATGTGCGATTACAATTATACACAACTCACCAAGTCTGTACTAACATTCAAATGTCACACAGGAAATATGAGAATTGTTGTCAAGAACATGTAGTTCAGAAAGAAAAGCTTTGTCTCATCTAGTGATTTCAACAATGAAGTCTAACTGAGCACTGTTCAAATAGGAATTGCTGGTCAATGCCAAGGATATACATTTATATACCATGGTCAAATGCATGTACAGAGATATGCCTTTAAGCCAATAGATGTGTAGCCAAGAACAAGGTCAAGGGCAAACTAACTGTATTGTCAAAATATACAAATTTTCCTGATCATGGTAAATATATTTTTGTCCTTTTTCCACCCTGTTACCATGGTATGTGAACAAACTTTTTGAATCCATATTTCTACTCGTCTCCTGCTTATGTATGTTGAGTGAGTTTTAAAGCTGTTCTCGGCAACAGAACCAGAAATGTTGGGAATACTACCCTGGTTTTACCTTCACCTACAAAACCTTAGGGTCCACAGGAGCCCCCCCTACTAATTTCAAGGGTACTTACAAGAAACGTGAAAGTATGGTAGTGAAATGGTGTAGAGAACTGCACTCTAGATTTAACTAATTACATGAAATTCTTGAATACAGTTGTTGCAAAACCTTTTTAATATATTCTTGTCAGTCCCATGGGACACAATATTGGTTCTTTTTGTCTCAATTCTTTTCATTTGTGTGCACTGGATGCACATTTTTGTGTCGCATATAACCTGTAATTTTCTGTACTACCCACTTTGAGAATAGAACTTGGGCCTTCAGTCTGACAAGCAAATGCTTGAGTCACTTAATGGCACCTACAGAGGTGATAAGATCATTAGTACACGTAGTTAGGACTAATAGCAGATAAAACCAGTTCTAGCTACCATTCAAATATATGAAGTTAATTATTCAAGAGAGACCCTTGGTAAAAAGAACAAAACAAAACAAGACAATCCACTAAAGGATACAAGATCAGTACATCTATTTGACAACCTTGATTGTAAAGGGCCTTGAGATTTCCCTTTCGGTAAACAGTTCTTCCAATTTTTAATAGAAATATTTTGTGTAAGGTAATTTCATGCTGTTTGTGTAACACTCTACTTAGTACTTTTAACCCTCTACCCCATCCCGCCATGTTTAAATATGTCCAAACAGAAGAGAAAATTACTTCTAAGATAATTATAATATACATGTTTATATATGTATCTAATTTATGGGTTAAGAAATTTACTTTCAGTTACGGATCAAAGTATGGAGTCGAAAGTTGACTTCATCTGCAAATCACTTTAACTTCTTTGTTAATGATTTGTCCTGTTTTTATGTATTCTAAACCAAACAATTCCATTGGAAATGACCAGCAATTCTCCAAAAGGAATAAACTTTGGAGATAATTACCGTCATTACTGTAATCTGCTTCGTTTTCATCGCCGTCGTCGTTTTCATCTTGGAATACTAAAAAGTCATCTGCACTTTGGTCACCATATCTTGCTTGACTAGTACTGGGTTCGGCGTAATCTGGCACATGTGGAACATTTTGATGGAAGGACGATGATGAAGAACCGGGTGATTGAGAATGTGATGATTGTGGATGAGAGAGTCGTTCTAGAGCTGCTTGGGACGTTTGCGTATGAGGTACATCGGATGAATAATCTATTTGCATGTATGGAGTCTCTTTCTTTGGCACAATGTCGTCAGGTTCTATTTCTATTAAATCTGGATCTTCTGGTTCTTGTTTCACATTAACTGGAGTGTCATTTTGAGATTTTGATTGAATGCTTGGAGATTGACGTGGACTTGTATGAGGATGTAAGCGACGATGAAAAGGAGACTTGGGTCTTGGAGACTCAGAAAAAGAAGTCCTTCTGCTTTTAGCATGTGGTTGTGACACTGATACTTCATGATGCCTTTTGAACTGATTGGACACAGGTGTTGAATGCTGTATTTCGGAAATTGTCATATTGTTGGAAATGTAATTGTCATTTTCTTGTGGCATCAAAGTCCGATCTACATCAAACACTGACAATTTTAATGTTTTGCTTTCACTTTTTGATATAATGCTTGCATCAGACGACACACCGTCGACTTTAAACGTCAATTTGTTTGAGCGTAACACCACCTGTACACTCGCATCTTGCGTTGTACCGTATGAGTTCACGGATGCCGGGAATTCAAGATTAGATCTTGGCCCCCTTTTCAGAGTAGAAAATAGATCACACAGATCCACTGGGATTGTGAACTCTAATGTTTCAATAAACATTGTTGTAGTATACAAACAACTTCCCTGCAGTATATTAAAACACAGCGAACTTACAGCAATCACAGATCTCTTAGCAGCGAGTAATATTATGTCGATCTTCAAATCTAGGTCACTCCCCGAAACGAAATCACATCATGGCAGACAGGTGCGCGATCACTTTGGCTTGTAGCATGGCGTTGAGTCCACTTCCTTCCACGAAATAAACTTGATTTGATGCATGCGTGTTTGCGAAGGAAGTCTTCAAACGTTTTAACACAAAGTGAAGGAAGTGACCGCCTTTCTTCTGAACATTGTACAACGCTTTATCTTCGAACACGGCAGCTTTTCCAGCACAAAGCGCGGTATCTTCTGTGATTTCCGGTGTAAGCCCAAAACTACTTTCCTGCAGACAAGTTAGATGGCGACTCAAGACGGGATGATTTGAAATGTTTTGCCCTCAATTATGAAATAAAAAAATATCGGGTTTTTTAAAATTCCTTTCGTAAATCATTGATTTACTGAATGTTATGTATTTTCTGAGGACGTGCAAGTAAGGGGCCGATTAATTTAATAATTTAATGAAAGTGTTACTTTGATTTGTTGAACCAACAGGAAGTGCTACGAATATTTGCGTATTCTTTCGTTATTTTCGACCAAATACTACTGTGCCGACAGACTCACTCACCCAGGATTAATATGTTTAGGAAACAGGTTGTAGACAAAAATCTTATTGTACCACGATATAACAGAAATGATGATTAGATTGGAAATTTCATTTTACCTCCACGGATGCAATTGTTAATAATTATGTTCCTGGTTTGAACATGTTTATTTAAAATTACATTTCGATTAATCTTATATTCTAAATTCAACGTGGGATGCCATTTCATTGTTCTCAGATACACTGCATAATGAACCCAGGCGAAGCGCGCCAAGAGACACCTATCGGGAAATCGAAAACGAGAAACGCAACAAAGCATTCGTGACCAACTCGTGTTATTCCGGGACAAGCCGAATAGCGAGGTTACGGAAAGGGGCGAGTGGTGACGAATGATAACGATGTTCAGCAGTCTGGTTCATGTTGCGCTAGCGAAGAAAACAGGGAACCAGTCTTACAAACGAGCTGCATCCATGCTGACTTCTTTCTATTCTTTGTATGACTTCTCAGAGATAATTATTGCTGATTCATCAGCTGAATGCTGAGTCGTCATGATGATGATGATGATTTGGAGATTTAACGTGCGCATTCTTACATAATGCGTATTTCAGACACAGGCACACGGAAGTGCACAGAGTGAATATACCTAGATAAAACACAACTTGCTTACACAACACAAGTTGGGAGAATGTACAAAGATAACAGTATAAGACGGAGCCAAGTAGATAAACGGTATAAACAATGTAAGACGAAGACGATGAATATAACAGACTGGGAAGTTTTAGATGCCTCAAGTTGGTCTCGGTTAATGGCTGGCTTCTTTCTTTGTATTTTGATGTTTTCTTAAATTGAAGTTTCCTCTTTTTCCAGTGACACAAATTTGTCCCCTATTGATAAACTTTTTGCTTATTTAAAAATATTAAATGCAGGAAAGGATCCCTTTGATCTTAAGACAAATATTGATATAGGATCCCTTTGATCTTAAGACAAATATTGATATAGGATCCCTTTGATCTTAAGACAAATATTGATGTAGGATCCCTTTGATCTTAAGACAAATATTGATATAGGATCCCTTTGATCTTAAGACAAATATTGATATAGGATCCCTTTGATCTTAAGACAAATATTGATATAGGATCCCTTTGATCTTAAGACAAATATTGATGTAGGATCCCTTTGATCTTAAGACAAATATTGATGTAGGATCCCTTTGATCTTAAGACAAATATTGATGTAGGATCCCTTTGATCTTAAGACAAATATTGATATAGGATCCCTTTGATCTTAAGACAAATATTGATATGGGATCCCTTTGATCTTAAGACAAATATGGATATAGGATCCCTTTGATCTTAAGACAAATATTGATGTAGGATCCCTTTGATCTTAAGACAAATATTGATATGGGATCCCTTTGATCTTAAGACAAATATTGATATAGGATCCCTTTGATCTTAAGACAAATATTGATGTAGGATCCCTTTGATCTTAAGACAAATATTGATATAGGATCCCTTTGATCTTAAGACAAATATTGATATGGGATCCCTTTGATCTTAAGACAAATATTGATATAGGATCCCTTTGATCTTAAGACAAATATTGATATGGGATCCCTTTGATCTTAAGACAAATATTGATATAGGATCCCTTTGATCTTAAGACAAATATTGATATAGGATCCCTTTGATCTTAAGACAAATATTGATATAGGATCCCTTTGATCTTAAGACAAATATTGATATAGGATCCCTTTGATCTTAAGACAAATATTGATATAAACGATAGTAATGATATTCTGAACAATGACATAAGTGAACATGAAATAGTATGTGCCATACGACTGTTTAGAAATAATAAGGCATCCGGACAGGATAACATTATTATATTGATATGAACATATTAAATCTTCTGCCCCAGCTTTATTAATTACCTTTTCATGTTAAACTATTTAATCTAATATTTGACTCTGGGATTTCTCCCTAACAATGGTGGAATGGTATTATCCACCCTATCTACAAAGGTAGATGTTGCGTCAAAGTCAGTCGACGGTCTGTTAGATATGTCCATCGTGTTATTCTGGCTTCTTTATGCCGACCACACAGTATTAGTAGCCTTCAACCATCAAAATGTGCAAAAGATATTTGACGCATTTACCCTTTACTGTAAAACACGGGAGTTAGCCATCCACTCTCGCAAAACAAACATTTTAGATTTCGGCGGTACAAAACGTTAATAAACGGTACACCCATTGAACATGTCAAAGAGTATAAGTATCGAAGAATCCATTCTACAAACAATAATACTTTTAAAAGCTCTACAAAAGCCCTTTGCGAATCTGATTTCGTTCTGCGGAAATATCGCATCTTTAACCTATCAATAAAATGCCAATTATATCTCTTTGATGCCATGGCTAAGCCAATTCTGTTATGCTGCGAAATCTGGGGTTTTGAAAATTGTAAACATGGGCGGATCCAGGAATTTTGAAAAGTGTGTGTGTGTGTGTCCCATCTGGTCATATACAGTATGTATTATTTTAAATCTTAATAACACGGCTGTGTGTGTGTGCGCGTGCGTGCGTGCGTGCGCGTGTGCGTGTGCGTGTGTATATGTCCACCATCTGGTCATATACAGTATGTATTATTTTTAATCTTAATAACACGGCTATGGTAGATTGGAAGAAACACACACACACACCCCTTGGCTTCGCCAACGCAAAAAAAAAAATCTTCAATGTGATCATAAGTCATTTTCAAAAAAAAGGGGAGTGGGCGAACCCCCTGAACCACCCCTCTGGATCCGCCAATGGTAAAGTTATAGAATCAGTTCATGGTAACGTTTTACGCAAATTACTTCCCGCACGCCATTATTCATGCTATATGGAGAACTTGGAAGGATACCCCTAATTAACTCTATCAAATGTCGTATGGTATGTTTCTGGGCAGGACTCCTATCTGGAAAAGAACAAAACCTGTCAATAATTTTATACCAATTGTTATATAATGAAGACCGTATAAACAATAGCAATCGAAAATGGATAAAATCTACGGAAGCCGTTTTTAATGAAACTGGTTAAGTCAACAAGCTGTCTTTCCCAATGAAATTAAAACTATTATCTCCTTACGGTTACATGATATAGCAACCCAGACATTGTGCGCAGAGATTTCGAATTCTTCTAGGGGTACCACGTATCGCCTATTTAAAACTGAACTTGTCCTTGAAAAATATTTCACAACTCTTTTGGTGTTGTCACTACCCCTAGTGTACAGTACACAACCCCGTGCGCTTAAAAGAACCCACGAATCCGTTGGTATATGACCAGATGGTGGCCACATGAATACGTGCAAACACCTAGTTGCAGGTACAGCAACGCGCAGTAAACTTGGACAAAGTACTGTGACCATGTGTCCAAGTCCACCCAGCTGTGAAGGGGAACCTCGTAAGGATGAGGAAGCCAAATGAACTCGGTGCGTCTAGTGGCTGCAAGAGTTGTATGATCCTCAGGGAGTTGAGATTGATAATACGAAGTGCCGTTGAGACTGACATCCTATGATCGAGGGAAAAAACAAAGCGCCTGTAAGCAGCCTAGCTGGAACTCGGCGCAATATAAATAGATTATACTAATAATATATCCCTTTCTCCTTGGCTCTTAAATTTATCTTGTTTAGAACTTCTTGCCATCGTTTACCAATAGAAGTAGGTAGGTGGCACAAGATTCCACCCGAAGAAAGAATGTGTAACCTCTGCGACACGCGTGTGTGATGTTGGCGATGCATTTCATTACATTTTTCTCTGCCCTTTCTTCAAATATATCAGGGCGGTGGGGTAGCCTAGTGGTTAAAGCGTTCGCTCGTCACGCCGAAGACCCCGGGTTCGATTCCCCACATGGGCACAATGTGTTAAGCCCATTTCTGGTGTCCCCCGCCGTGATATTGCTGGAATATTGCTAAAAGCGGCGTAAAACTAAACTCAGTCAGTCAAATATATCATCGGAAAACGTATATCCCAAACCATTATGTTAAAAAAAACCAGTGTGATAAGATTTAACGAATTGTTAAACGAATTAGTGTTTTAAAAAAACTGTGTATATTTTGTAGTACTATCATGAAAACTGTACAATCTTCCTTGTAAACCATCCCGCAATCCCATGTATTCTCAACTGTATATTTGTACCTTATATGCCGAGTATCCCGGCCTGAGCGTAATAAAAGTTCTGTTCTGTTCTTCTGTTGTTGGTAAGTTGAAGCTTTGTTTGTTGCCAGGATACTAGTATATGTATATGGTGGTCGGGTATTTGATGAGGAGTTCCGATAGGGCAGATTTCATGTTAGATTTTTTCTCCAGAGGTCTTATGTTCTTTTATCCCGGTGGCCGTGGAGCGTGATGCCTCTCCTGTGTATTTGTCTCCGCAATTGCATGATATTTCACACACACGTGCATGCATCCTCTAAAAAGTTGGGGGTGGGCTCATGCCGTGGGACCTTTCCCATTAGCATGTACGTAACATGTATTTTAGTGTTCTGTCTGAAGTAAAAGTGACGTCTATTTTGTCTGTTCTGGTGACTAGTAGGACCTTGGTATGGGATGCTGACGTTGATGGGTGATGGGACTGGTTTGGGCTTGGTGACGGGGTCTTTGTGCTGGGTGGCACGGGTTTACCCGTAGTGTTTTCTCCATCAGATGTTTAAGGTAGCCGTTGAGCGCGATAAAGGTGTGTTTGGGATGACG